CTTTGCGTTTGGAAGCGGGGGGTGGGGGTGGGGGAAGGACCAGGGAGGATGATTCAACCACTCAACCACTAGATGTCGCTGAAAACAACAAATCCTACACCCTGTGCCTTTAAAAACAGAATTTACAAAAATGTAGGAGAGGCCTTGGGAAACACAAGAACCTGGATGGACACAAGGAGGACCATGATTGAGGCATTACGCCAACAATACACTGCTGAGCTGAGGTGGAGGTGGAGGTGGAAAGACATTGAATATAKAGGACCAAGGATTCATGGGAGATTGACTGCAGCTGAGACTTATGGGTAACAGGTGAAACATGTGTGACAGGCTGACTTGGAAAAAAGGGCAGGTGACTGATGACGCAATGAACACAAAGAAAATAAAAATATGAACACAAGAATCACAAAATAAGGAAACAAAACATAACCACCAAAAGGGGAACCAAGTCTGATCGAATACAAATAACCAATAAAAAATACTGAAACACATGGATCATGACGCAGAGGAGTTTTTAAAGAAAGTGTGTTGAGTGTTTATCTTTGGACTGCATCATTGTTCAGGTCTTGTCAATTGTCTGACAAGTTGTTTTTAAGGATGTGTAAGGAGTTGTTCTGATTGGTAGTGTGAATAATACACAGATCCTCATTTAGCTAAAAGTTTATTTTCTGATCTAAAGAGACTCCATCTGACTCTRAGCTTCTCTGCGGATTCAAAATCTAAACTAGAAGCACTCGGAGAGTACAAACCTCTGCCAAGAACAATTTCCCCCATCCTGTAATAAGTGCTCATAGAGCTTCATCAGAAGCATGCCCACCAAGATGTTGAGAGGACATTGGAGTTGATCAGACACCGGTGTTATTGGCCAGGTATGTCTGCTGACGTGSCAAACTGGTGTCGGCTTTGTGAGAGGTGCCAAGTGGCTAAGGACAACCAGCTGGTGGTCCATGCTCCCATGGGACATTTGTTGGCTTCACGCCCAAATGAAATTCTGGCCATGGACTACACTGTGCTAGAACCTTCCCATAATRSRTTAGAGAATGTCTTGGTCATGACAGATGTTTTCAGTAAATACACCTTAGCTGTTCCCACCCGGGATTAATGTGCCTCTACAGTAGCTAAAGTGTTGGTGACAGAGTGGTTCTCAAAGTTTGGTGTTCCCGCCCTGATTCATTCAGATCAGGGTCGAAACTTTGAGAGCGCTTTAATTCTGCAGTTGTGTGAACTTTACGGCATTGAGAAATCACGGACCACACCTTACCATCCAGCTGGTAACGGGCAATGTGAACGGTTTAATAGAACATTGCACAACTTGTTGCGTATGTTGCCAGTGTCTCGGAAGAGAGACTGGCATTCTTGTTTGCCACAGTTCCTGTACTCATACAACACCACCCCTCATCAGTCTACAGGCAAGTCTCCCTTTTTCTTGATGTTTGGGCAGGAGCCAAGGCTTCCAGTTGACTTCCTGTTGGGTAKAGTGCGGGACTCTGCAGGTGGTAATGTTCATGAGTGGATCCAAGAGCATCAGACAAGGCTACAGATGGCCTTTGAGGGTGCGCAGGAACGGTTAAGGGTGACAGCTGAGCGTAGGAAAAAACACTATGACAAGCGTGTTAAGGACGCTCCCCTTAAAGAAGGTCAGTTGGTGCTGCTTAGAGAGTTGGGTGTGAGAGG